CGCGACCCACAGGTTGAGAACCACTGCCCTAGCCAGTCTGGCTCGGTGGACAGAGTGTCGGCCTGTGGACTGAAGGGTCCCAGGTTCAATTCCGATCAAGGACACGTACTTAGTTCCATGCTCCTCCCCAGTCCAGGCCCAGTTGATGTGTTTCTCTCACATCAATGTTTCTCTCTGTATTTCCCTCTCTCTTCCACGTTCCCTAAAAAGTCAATGGAAAAATTTCTCTGGTGAGAATTAACAACACGTATTTAGTTTCATGCTCCTCCCCAGAACAGGCCCAGTTGATGTGTTTCTCTCACATCAATGTTTCTCTCTGTATTTCCCTCTCTCTTCCACATTCTCTAAAAAGTCAATGGAAAAATTTCTCTGGTGAGAATTAACCAAAAAAAAGAGAAAGAAAAAAGAAAGCTTTATTATTATTATTTTTAATCCTCACGCAAGGATATTTTTCCCATTGATTTTTAGAGAGAGTGAAAGGGAGGGAAAGAGATGGGGAGGAAGAGAGAGAGAGAAACATCGATGAGAGAGAGACACATTGATTGGTTGCCTCCCACACGTGCGCCAACAGGATTGGGGATTGAACTTGCAAACCGGATACATGCCCTTGACCAGAAATTGAACCCTCAACTCTCTGGTGCACAGGCCAATGCTCTAACTACTGAGCCATGCTGGCCAGGGCATAGAAAGCTTTATTTCCATGGAATCACAAGTGTCTGTGTGACTTCAGTGGGGCTAGAATCAAAGTCAGTGACCAGAGCTTCCATTCCATGTTGGAGCAGTGTCAGTCCAGCATCAGGCTGGATTAGCTTGTGTTCCCAGCTACAGTCTCTAGGTGCGTTGCATGTGGTGGTGTCCTCAGGGCCACAGGGCTATGGAGGAAACACAGGCAAATGCAAGGAAGCCGGAGCAAAAAAAGCCCCACAAGCCAAGAGTCCAGAGCAGCATGAGAGAGAATTCTGTTGTTTGGGAAATTATGTGTCCCTCAGTTTTTATGGGTTTGTAGTAGCCACGCCTATTCTGGCCAACCATCTCTGTCCCCAGGTTTGGCTGACAGGCAAGTACCTTCTTATGTCACCCCAACTTCACTGGGCTTGTGTCTGCCTCCCCTTTTTTGGACCTCTTCCCTCAGTGTTCTGGAGGGAATGGACTGGTGGCTCCCTGGGGAGTGTGAAATTGCAGCTCCCTGGTGAAGCTGCCCAAATGGCCATGCTTATAATGTCTGGCTTCCCCCTTTGCTCCTTTCCTATTATTAATAACTAGATGCCTGGCGCATGGTCCCTAGTTATTTTTTTATATATACTTTATTGATTTTTTTACAGAGAGGAAGGGAGAGGGATAGAGAGTCAGACACATCGATGAGAGAGAAACATCGATCAGCTGCCTCCTGCACACCCCCTACTGGGGATGTGCCCGCAACCAAGGTACATGCCCTTGACCGGAATCGAACCCGGGACCCTTGAGTCCGCAGGCCGAGGCTCTATCCACTGAGCCAAACCGGTCAGGGCCCTAGTTATTAATAATAGGAAAGGAGCAAAGGGGGAAGCCAGACATTAGGGCCATCTTCCCGAGCTGCCCACAGCCAGCCCTGCCCCACACCCGCCACCACCCACCCCCTGGTTCCCCAGTGGCCATCAGGGAAAGGGACCAAGAGGTGATCAGTGCACCTCATAGTGACTGGTGCAGCATCATTCTGGTCGTTCTGCCATTAGGGTCAATTTGCACTTACCCTTTTATTATATAGGACTAGCTAATTACAACAGTATCAGTACCACTCAAGGTACACGTCTCAGAATAGAAAGCGAGCTGGAGTTGAGTTTCCACTTGTGTTGATCACTGAACAACTCGGACAACTGTACACAATAACTCTGAGTCCAAACAAACTCCCAGGTACCTTAGAGTTATCCTCAGACATCATTTGTTTGTGGCTCGTGTCTCTTACGTCATGATTCAGAATACCAGCTACTAGCCTTTTTTATTTTTATTATTTTTTTAAATCCTCACCCAAGGATATTTTTTCATTGATTTTTAGAGAGAGTGGAAGAGAGAGGGAAAGACAGAGAGAAACATGTGAGAGAAACACATCGATTGGTTGTCTCCTGCTTGAGCCCTGACAAGGGCCCGGGCCAGGGAGGAGCCTGCAATCCAGGTACGTGCCCCCTTGACTGGAATTGAACCTGGGACCCTTCGGTCCGCAGGCCGATGCTCTATCCACAGAGCCAAACCAGCTAGGGCTACTGGCCTTATTTTTGCATGAAAGGACCCTTCAGGAACACCGGGTGTTCCCTTTCCTGGTACCCCTCTGGTTTGAGAGACCTCCCCTTAAGAAGTTCTCCATGTTATCACTCATCATTGGGTTCCATTGGCCTTCACATGACCACGTTTAAGTAGTAACAGAAACACAATTTAATGTAACCTCTTGGTCTCAAATTATGGCTCTTCCTTTACTGATAGAATCTTGGGCTATTGAACTAGGTCTTCTCCCCATCAGTAGAATTGAATAATGCCCATCTCACAAGGACTTGAGGATTGAATGAAACCACGTCCAAGCACATACACATTCAATAGCAGGTACTGTCGTTATCGATCATTACAAGTGACCTTTCTTTCTCTTTCCCATGGGATTCACCGGGAAAATTACATTGTGTCACTGCAAGATTTGGGTCACTAATTCGTTTCTCGGTGGATAAACAGGTACCCAAAATGGAAGGAGAAGACTCCATATATGTTTGGCTTATTTTATCAGAAGCAGTTAATGTTCTAGTTTGTGTTCCAAGTCCCTAGTTAACTTTGGTTCCTCTATTACAGTTGAGACTCTTAAGAGAGAAACATGTCTTTTCACTGAATTTTCATGAATGTAAGTTATGTGACATCCATTCTGCTTGGCATTTCATGCAAATTATCGCATGAGGGTATGACTTATTCCCAACTTAAAGATGGGAATGAGGTTTCATAAATTTAAGTAACTTGACCACATTTTCATGCATAGTAAATGGAAAAAACAGGATTTTTTTTTAATCGTCACCCCCGGATATGTTTTTGTTGATTTTTGAGAGAGAGAAAGAGAGAGAGAGGTGAGAGAGAAACATTGATCAGTTGCCTCCTGTATCCACCCTGACCGGGGACAAACCCACAACATTTTTGGTGTATAGGATGACGCTTCAACCAACTGAGGCACCTGGCTAGGGCAAGAACCAAATGTTTTTAGAAACCTGTCCCCAAAGGCCATGAGATACACATCCAGTGAAATTCCATTGCACCATAATAAGAATATTCATTTCCAGAAATTGAATGTGGGTGCCATTTTTTTATTTCTTGATTTTTTTTTTTTTTAGAGAGAGAGAAAGGAAGGGGGAGAGAAAGAGAGAGAAACATAGATTTGTTGTTCCACTTACTTATGCACTCATTTGTTAATTCCCTGACCAGGGAATCAAACACTCAACCTTAGCATATGGGGACAACGCTCTAACAGACTGAGCCACCCAGCCAGGGCTCCCTGGGAACTTCTCAAAGTCCAAATTCTTGGTTCTCCCAAAGATCTTCTCAATCGGGTTCTGGGTATATGACCCAAGAATTTGCTTTCACTCATCTTCCAGGTGCTCATTGCAGGACACCTGGAAACACAGGTCACTGGACCCTACACCCAGCGTTTCTGGAGATTTCCACTTCCAGCTGGTTGCCCAATGGTGGTGATGCAGGTGGTCCTGGGACCACGCTGTGACAACCACTACTCCAGACCACGTAGTCCAGGGTGTCACTTCACGGAGTGGCGTGAGGAATGAAACGGGGGGCCACGGTCCAGGGTTTGGTTCTCAAGGATGACGTCCTCCCATGTCTCCTGCAGGTTGGTGTCTTGTTCGGCCACCGCCCAGCAGTGGGCTGATCTCGCCTCCTCCCTCGAGACGAACCATTCCCTCACGTGCTTGAACCTCACGGCCAATGAGTTCCAGGACGAGGGCGCCAGGCTGCTGTACATGACCCTGAGACACCCCAAGTGCATCCTACAGCGGTTGTCGTGAGTGACCCCTCTTCTCCCACGGGGCATCTTCGTCTTTGTTTCTAGATCTGGGGCCACATCGAGAAGAGCGACGGTAACACCCATATTTGCTGGGCAGCCTACTGAGGTAGACACTGGGTTCCCGTTTTGGGTCCCGTGCAGCTCACTCTTCTCTCGCTCCTCCCGTCTCTTCGTGGCTGCGATCACGTACACGATCATTGAGAGAGGGGGGCCACATCAAGAGCGACGGTAACACCCATATTTGCTGGGCAGCCTACTGAGGTAGACACTGGGTTCCCGTTTTGGGTCCCGTGCAGCTGCTCCTTCTCTCGCTCCTCCCGTCTCTTCGTGGCTGCGATCACGTACACGATCATTGAGAGAGGTCTGTGTGTCTGTGTCTGTGTCTGTGTGTTGTGTGCCTGTGTGTGTATGTGTGCCTGTGTGTGTTGTGTGTCTGTGTGTGTATATATGTGTCTGTGTGTGTGTGTGTGTGCTGAATTCCAGCTGGACTTAATCATTTCTCTGACTACCTTAAGTGTGATGTTGATGGTTAGATCTGGTGAGACCTAGGGAAAGGGTGATAGGGAAAAAGTACAAATGGTATTAATACTCTACAGGAATTTGGGGGATGTAGCTGACTTCTAGGTTTGATTTTTTTAATGTTTTTATTTTAGAGAGAAAAAGAAAGTGTTCCACTTATTTATGCATTCATTGGTTGATTCTCATATGTGCCCTGACCAGGGATCGAGCCCACAACATTGATGTATTGAGATGATGCTCTAACCAATTGAGCTGCCCAGCCAGGACCTAGGTTTGATTTCCTTATGCATGTTCTTAGAACTATGTCACAGAAACTGTACCTGCAGTTGAGGACAGATGGTGTTAACTTACCAACTAACTCATTATATTCCTCCTGTAAATACCAAAATCATGGGACAAATTTTCAGGCAGAAATGGGGCTGCACTCTTTCTGTTCTGAGATTCTATACGGTTTTAACATCCCTGTTGTACTTGTTATCTACGAAACCACCTCCCGTAGTTAGTAACTGTCAACTTTTCCTAGGTTTAATCTCCGCTATGCCTTAAGGCACCCAGTCTGAGAACTCCTCACTCAAAATTCCATGTAGTATTTAGCTTATGGTTGGAGAGAGATAGATTTTTTTCCTACTCTCTGAACCCCAAAACACTATAGTAGTATGAAGTTCTATAGGGAATAAGGTGCTACCCACCCACTAGCGCTACCTTCAAATCAAAGTAGAATTTGCCGCCACCCAAGGCATCTAAACAGAAAAACAAAGTAGTGACAGTCAACACTTACTAAGCACACTTACGATGTGCCAGGCGCTATGCTAAAGGCTTACCAGAGATGGTTTTGTTCAGTGCTCCCAGCCTCATTTCTCCCACTGGGCAGACCAGAAAACTGAGACTTAAACCTTATCAACTTTAGACTTTAAACCTCATCAACTTCAGCCCTCGCCAGTTCGCTCACTTGGTTAGAGCATCGGCCCAATACACCAAGGTTGTGATTCAATCCCAGGTCAGGGCACATACAAGAATCAACCAATGAAAAAAAGGATCAACCAATAAATCCATAAATAAGTGGGACAACAAATCTCTCTCTCTCTCTCTCTCTCTCTCTCTCTCTCTCACCAATAAATTTAAATTTTTTTTAAAAAAAAGTTAAGGTAAGCGCTCTGGCTGGTTTCCCAGTGGTTAGAGCATCAGCCCATGCACTGAGCAGTGTCATGTTCGATTCCCAGTCAAGAGCACATACCTGGATTGCTTCAATTCCCTGGTCCCAGTCAGGGCTAAATTTTTTTTAAAAAAAAGTTAAGGTAAGCGCTCTGGCTGGTTTCCCAGTGGTTAGAGCATCAGCCCATGCACTGAGCAGTGTCATGTTCGATTCCCAGTCAAGAGCACATACCTGGATTGCTTCAATTCCCTGGTCCCAGTCAGGGCACATACAGAAGGCAATCAATGTGTCTTTCTCACATCGATGTTCGTTTCTCTGTCTCTTTCCCTCCCTCTTCCTCCCTCCCTTCCACACTCTCTAAAAATCGATGGGGAAAAAATATCCTTAGGTGAAGATTTAAAAAAAAAACACAGTTAAGGCGAAATACCACTGATATTCTGTGTAGTTGGGTAACTGATACATAGTGGGTGGCCTCCATGCCTAAGACACTACTTTCCTAGTAACTGGATTTAGGCAATACAATTGGCCACTTCCCCTGGTAGAAGGTGGCAGACCAAGGTAGGGTTGAAATTCTCTGCCCCATGGTGAGAGTAGAAATCATACAGACCAGCTGTCCTGATTTCCCAGGGCTTCTGTAACAGATTACCCCAAACTAAGTAGCTTAAAACAACACGAATCGAATGAACAAAATAAACTCACCAAGTAGAGACAGACCCAAGGATACAGAGAACAGATGGACAGCTGTCAGAGAAGAGGGGTTTGGGGGCTGGGTGAGAAGGGTGAAGGGATTAAGCAAAGAAGAAAAGAAAAAAAGGCTCATGGACACAGACAACAGTATGGTGATTGCCAGAGGGGAGGAGGGGGAAGGTAGAAGAGTTTGGTAAAGGGGGGATAAATAGTGATAGGAGACTTGACTTGGGATGGTGAACACACAACACAATACACAGATGATGTGTTGTAGAATTGTATGTCCGAAACCTGCATAATTTTATTAACCACTATCGCCCCCAATAAATTCAATTTTGAAAAAAAAGGCTCATGGACACAGATAACAGTATGGTGATTGCCAGAGGAGAGGTGGGGGAAGGTAGAAGAGTTTGGTAAAGGGGGAATAAATGATAGAAGGAGACTTGACTTGGGGTGGTGAACACACAATACAATATACAGATGATGTGCTGTAGAATTCTATGTCCGAAACTTGCATAATTTTATTAACCACTATCGCCCCCAATAAATTCAATTTTGAAAAATCAATCAATAAATAATAATGACTAAAATAAGCCGCCCTAGCAGGTTTGGTTCAGTGGATAAAGCGTCGGCCTGCGGACTAAAGGGTCCTGGATTCGATTCTGGTCAAGGGCACATGCCCAGGTTGTGGGCTCGATCCCCAGTAGGGGGTGTGCAGCAGGCAGCCGATCCATGATTCTCTCTCATCATTGATGTTTCTCTCTCGCTCTCCCTCTCCCTTCCTCTCTGAAATCAATAAAAAGGCAGCTGTTCGATGTTTCTCTCTTATCGATGTTTCTAACTCTCTATCTCTCTCCCTTCCTATCTGTAAAAAATCAATAAAATATATATTTTTTAAAAAATCAATAAGTAATAATGACTAAAATAAGCCGCCCTAGCAGATTTGGTTCAGTGGATAAAGCGTCGGCCTGCGGACTAAAGGGTCCTGGATTCGATTCTGGTCAAGGGCACATGCCCAGGTTGTGGGCTCGATCCCCAGTAGGGGGTGTGCAGCAGGCAGCCGATCCATGATTCTCTCTCATCATTGATGTTTCTCTCTCGCTCTCCCTCTCCCTTCCTCTCTGAAATCAATAAAAATATTTTATAAATAAATAACCCCATGGCTTGAGCTTGCCAATCATGGTGTGGTTACATCACACCAGTGAGCACTAACAGTTTGTTGTTGTTTTTTCCTTCCTGCGACCGACCTCCAGGCTGTTCCACTGCAACATAACCAGTGACGGCTGCATCATCCTCGCCAAGCTCCTCCAAGAAAGCTCTAGTCTCACGCACTTGGACCTGGGGCTGAACCACATCGGAATCACTGGGGTGAAGTTTCTGTGTGAGGCTCTGAAGAAACCGCTGTGTCACCTAAGATGTCTATGGTCAGTTCATGGTTTTTGTACTTTAATCTGCACCTGAAATGAAATATCAGTGTAGCAATCTCCCTCCCCGCCCCCCAGCTCTATTGATGACAATATTGAGATGTGTAGGCATGTAATTGTGCCATGTGCTCGTAATAAGAAAGGATTGGAGGGTGGTAAAGGCTGGGGTGGGGCAGGGGGGCTAGAAGAGGTCAATGGGGGAAATGGGAGGCATATGTAATACTTTTTTTTAATAAGACTTGTACCTTTTTTTATAATATATTTTATTGATTTTTTACAGAGAGGAAGGGAGAGGGATAGAGAGTTAGAAACATCGATGAGAGAGAAACATCGATCAGCTGCCTCCTGCACACCCTCTACTGGGGATGTGCCTGCAACCAAGGTACATGCCCTTGACCGGAATCAAACCTGGGACCCTTCAGTCCGCAGGCTGACGCTCTATCCACTGAGCCAAACCGGTTAAGGCGCATATTAATACTTTCAACAATAAGGAATTTTTTTAATCAATTAAGTATTTCAAAAGGCCTCTAGGATAGCCCTGGCTGGGTAGCTCAGTTGGTTGGAGCATCGTCTTCTATATGCCAATGTTGCAGGTTCAATCCTCAGCACATACAAGAATCAACAAATGAATGCATGCATAAGTAGAACTATAAATCTCTGTCTCTCATTCCCTCTCTCTCTCTCTCTCTCTCTCTCTCTCTCTCTCTCTCTCCCCTCTTCCTCTCCCCTTTCCTTTCTGTCTCTGGATTCAATAAGTTCAAGTATCGAATCCTTGTTGAAATCATGCTACCCCCCTTCCATATCTAGATCTGTTCTCTACCCCCACACACATACTGATAACATGTGGGTTGTGGCTGAGTTTTCAAATCAGTCTGAATCCCGCCTTCTTCGTGCCCTACAGTTTTTCAACCACCCATAAGACTGCCTTCTAAGGTGTAACTTTTGTCACCCTTCTGATCAACACCCTCTGTGCTTCCCCATCTCCTTCCAAGTAAAATCCTAAGTTTACCAAGACCTAAGGGCCTTCTTTGAGCTGGCCCCCTCTTATCTGTGACCCCACCTCCAGTCCTCCCTGGCTTATCTGTGACATCACCTACAGCCCTTCCTGGCTCACTCACCGTGACTGCCTTGATGTTGCTTTACCTGCTCTGTTCCCTATCGCCAAACTCAGAGGGAAGAAACTCACTCGTGTGGTTCACTGTTGGATCCCCAACACCCAACAGTGTGCCTGGCATATAGGACGGTATCAATAAGCACTGGATGAATGAATGAATGAATGAATGAATGATGGATTTTAGTGCTTCACCTACAGGTTATGGGGGTGTGCGATTACCCCTTTTAGTTGTGCATACCTCTCGTCGGCCCTTAGCAGCAACCAGCACCTCGTCACTCTGGACCTGGGCCAGAATTCCCTGGAGTACAGCGGGATAAAGGTGCTGGGAGATGCCCTGAAGCTTCAAAGTTGCCCTCTGCAGAAACTCAGGTATGACCCTCCTATGCCCCAGGGTTCGCGCCATGATTGTAGATTTGGGGGGAGCACCAACGACAGGATTCCTCGTAGGCACGTCTATCCCTAACATTCAGTTTTAATCCATTGATGTTCGGTCACCAGGTAATTTGTCTGTCGATTCCTCTTGTTGCTTTGACCCATAAACCAGGAGGTCACGGTTCGATTCCCGGTCAGGGGACATGCCCGGGGTTTCAGGCTCGATAGTTACCATAGTTACCAAGGAGTGAATCTTAGAAATGGGGCCACTATCTATCATCAGAGGTTAAATAAAGCATGGTTAGCCCTGGATGGTGTTGCTCAACGGTTATAGCATCACTGAAGGGTCTCAGGTTTGATTCCCAGTTAAAGGCATGTGCCTGGGTTGCAGATTCGATCCGTGGCCCAGGTCCGAGCATGTGCAGGAGGCAACCAATCAATGTGTCTCCTCACATTGATGTTTCTCTCTCTCTCTCTCTCTCTCTCTCTCTCTCTCTCTCTCCCCCACCCCCCGTCCCTCCCTTCCTCTCTTGCTAAAAAAAAATCAATGAAAAAAAATACCCTCAGGTAAGGATTAATAAAAAAAAAAAAAAAAGCATGGTCAGGAGATAGCATCATGTAGCCAGAGAGGGATAAAAAACTGGCCTGGCTGACTTGGCTTGAGTTTGTCGGTCTCATCCTGGGTCCACCTACGTAGCAGAAGTCGACAGAGTAAGATATGGAGCCGGTAGATATTAGAGCCATGTCACAGGTACATTCGTCAGTTCCATCTCTCACACTAAGGAGGACGTGAAAATCACCCAAGAACCTCCGAGCATCCCAAGCTCGCCAGTGGCTTGATGCCATCAGGAGGGTAGCCTGATATCATATTTCTTCCCTATCAAGTCCATATGGAACTCTGCCTGGCAGCACAGACGAATACATAAAGTGGTCCCTTTGCTGAAAATCCCTAACGCATACGGGTGCTTGGGGGGGTGGGGGTCTGGAATGAGTCTCCTGGAAGCAACAAGAAACCTTTGATTCCGCCCCCCTCACTCCCCATTGTACCACCAGGTTGAAGATCGATCATTCTGATGCCCAAATCCAGAAGCTGCTGGAAGAAATCAAAGAGGGCAACCCAAAACTGACTATTGAGAGGGACAACCAAGAGCCCAGAAATAACAGGCCTTCTTCTGCAGACTTTATTTTCTGAATCCCCGCTCCGAGTCATTCGTTGTCCCTCCAATCAAGGCGCCACGGCTCTTCGAGGCGAGGGTGAGCTTCCCGTGAGCCCGCTCAGTGTCAGGAGTTTCTGGACCCGATGGGATCTGAGCCATGGTTGCACCCTCCCCCTTACACAAAACACGCACGTGTCACTTAATCCTGTTATGATGAGCTGCCCCAATCACGAGTTGATCAAGAGAAATAAAGGTGCACGCACTTGTGGAGGACGTTGTATTTATTAACAGAGTCAGACCAGATGCAGAGGTCCATCCAGGAGCCATCTGAGAGAAGGCTGAAGAAAGAGGAAAGCCCGGCCAGTGGCTCAGTGGATTGAGCATCCTCCCATGCACCAGAGGTCACTGGTTCGAATCCCAGTCAGGGTACATGCCCGGGTGGTTGGCTCCATCCCCAGTAGAGGGGTGTACAGGGGGCAGCCAATCGATGTTTCTCTCTAAGCAATGTTTCTATCCTCCTCTCCATTTCTCTATCTAAAAATCGATGAAAACATTTTTTTTAAAAAAGAGGGAAGTATGATGTTGCGGTGAGGATGTTGTAAGAGCCACAATGTGCAAGACATGAGTGACTAGCCCTAGCCGGTTTGGCTCAGTGGATAGAGCATTGGCCGGTGGACTGAGGGGTTGCTGGTTTGATTCTTTCCACCCCAAACAGAGGGAGTTCTCTTTTTTTAATCTTCATTGTTGAGTCTTACAGATGTCCTCCATTTCCCCCCCTCCCCATTGCTCCTCTCACCCAGTTCCCGCCCAGCCCAGCCCTAGGCTTTTACCACCCTATTGTCTGTGTCCATGAGCAATGAATATATGCATATAAGTTCTTTGGTTAATCAACAGAAAGCCAAGTGCACTTGGCCTTAAAGGCTGAGAAGCAATCAGAAAGCCAAATAGACATTGACTCAACGGCTCCTTGATGGAGCCCCAAGAAGACACACACACACACACACACACACACACACACACACACACACACACACCCGCAGTCCCCTCCCTGCTCTCATGACCTCTTGGATACAGCCACGTCTTGAGGTTCTGATGGTGGCAAACCCTGGAAATGGCCAACTGGTCGACCCCCGTCCTGACCATTTTGTGACTTCTGAGCCCCTGGGAGGGGTGGGAGTGGCCTGTGGACAGCCGGGACCCAGTGCAGCCGGAATTTCTTCCGGCTGTGCCAATCTTCTACCAGGATGCCCGCCAGGAGTAAGAGAATCGCAGCCCCGAGGCATATCCGGACCAGGTTCCCCTTAGTGTAGTCCTGATGGGCAAGGCCTGGGGAATGAAGAGAGATGGGAGCTCTGTCGTGGGCTTCTCATAGCCGTATTCCCTCACCTGGAGTCCTGTTACTCTGCTAGCTGGGATGCCAACCTCCTTCCAGCAGGGCCCCTCCCCTCTCCCCCAGGGTCAATAAGCCCAGTTCCCTGAGTAGAACCTCTTCCATCATCAGGCCTCAGATGCAACCCGCCCCTACACAGACACTCCCTGGCTATTTGGCAGATTGTGGAAGAAAAGGCTACTATAAGGGGGGTGGAGGTGGAATGGATCTTACTCTGATCTTCCAGAAGACCTCAACCTTCCCAAGTCTGAGCTCCATCTACTGTTATTTCCCCTCCCCCTCACACTGGGTGTATCAGGGCCCAAGATCCCAGAGCCATGGCTTCTGTATTGGGAAAGCAGTGAGCTTTAGATAAAGACACAGGGGTGGGGAGAAGGAAGGTCCAGAGAGGAGGACCACTTACCAGTTGTAGAGCCTGGCCTCTTGGAAAAGATGGTGGTATCCCTAGAAGACTCTGGGATAATAAAAAAAAAAAAAGACTGTCAAATATCAGAGGGAAGGTGGGAGTGGGTGAGTGGATAGGAAGAGATTAGCCAAAGAACTTGTGTGCATAACCCATGGACACAGACAGTGGGTGGTGAGAACCTGGGGTGGAATTGGGTGGGCTGGAGGGGATAGATGGGGGAGGGGGGAGGAAGAGGACATATGTAATACTTTCAACAAAAAAGACTAAAAAAATCAGAAAAAAGACACAGGTGAGGAGAAAGAAAGTCCAGAGAGAACCACTTACCCGTTGTAGAGCCTGGCCCCCCTGAAAAGGTGGTGGTATCCCTAGAAGGCCCTGGGATAAAAATAATATTTTAAAAAGGAAGAACAGAGAAGCATGAAAAAGACTATCGAATCTCAGAGGGAAGGTGAGTGGGTGGATGGGAAGAAATTAACCAAAGACCTTGTATGCATATATGCACCACCCATGGACATAGTAGACAGTAGTGTGGTGAAGGCCTGGGGCAAGGGCAGATGTGGGCTAGAAGGGGTCAATGGGGGTAGGGGGGACATCTGTAATACTTTCAACAATAAAGTTTTGGGGGTTTTTAAGGGGAGAGTAAAGGGATGGGGCCATCTCCTCTACTCCGTCGATGTGAAAATTAAACTAGTAGTGGCCCTGGCCGGGTAGCTCAGTTGGTTAGAGCATCGTCCTGATACTCCAAGATTGTAGGTTTGGTCCCCAGTCGGGGCACATACAAGAATCGACCAATGGCCCTGGCTGGTGTGGCTCAGTTGGTTGGAGCATCATCCCATGCACCAAAAAGTAAGTTTGATTCCCAGTCAGGACACCTGCCTAAGTTATGGGTTGGATCCCTGGTCAGGGCATATATAGGAGGGCAACCAATCAATGTTTCTCTCTCTCACCCTCCCTCCCTGTAAAAATCAATAGACATATCCTCAGATGAGGATGAAAAAGAAGGGGTCCACGTGCCTTGGACCCCAGACACCAGGGTGAACCCTTCAGGACTTACGTGTTGTAGAGGAAGGTGCTTCTGTGGGTGACTGGCTGGGTGTCCCAGAGACCCCTGAGAAATCAGAAAAAGAGGGAATTCTGTGGCCTGTTAGCTGTGTTTTCTGAGCAAAAACACTTTGCCACCCAGATTCCTCGCCTGGAAAATGAACACAAATCTTAACACCGCTGGGTGTTAAGTAGCATTTCCAAGGCCCCCCTAACCTGGAGAGCATTGTGTTCAGTAAAATAAGCCCGTCAGAGAAAGGCAAGTGCCATAGGATCTCACGCATGTGTGGAATCTAATGAACAAAATAATAAACTGATGAACAAAATGGATCCAGAGGCATGGGTGCATGGAACAGACTGACAGATCTGGGAGGGAGGAGGGGGAGATTGGAAGAGATTATATGCATATGTACATATATGTACCCCAGGGACGTAGATAATAGTGTGGGGAAGACCTAGGGGAAAAGCCGGGGCTGGGAGGAAGGGAGCAAGGGGGGGACACCTCTAATACGGTCAACAATCTATATATATAAAAGCCTGAACGACCGAACGACCAGTTGACCAGTCACTATAACGCGCACTGACCACCAGGGGCCAGACACTCAATGCAGCAGCTGCCCCCTGGTGGTCAGTGCACTCCCACAGTGGGAGCGCCGCTCAGCTGACTTTAGGCGCCAGACACCGGGCTCATGGCTGGCGAGCACAGCTGTGAGCAGTAGCAGCAGGGGCAATGGGGCCAGGATGAGCTGGAGCTGCGGGCGCCTGGCCAGGCCTTGGGTTCCTCCCTGGCCGTCTGCCACTTTGCACACTATTACATCCCTCAGGGGATGTCAGACTGCCGCAGGCCAGGGGATCGGGCCGAAACCGGCAGTCCGACACCCCCTGAGGGGTCCCGATTGCAAGAGGGTGCAAGCCAGGCTGAGGGACCCCCACTGGTGCATGAATCCATGCACCGGGCCTCTGGTAAAATAATAAAGAGCCCGGCCGGTGTGGCTCAGTGTTGAGCATTGACCTATGAACCTGGAGGTCACGGTTCCATTCCCCGTCAAGAGCACATGCCCGGGTTCCCAGCTCGATCCTCAGTATGGGGCCTGCAGGAGGCAGACTGATGCATGAATCCATGCACCGGGCCTCTAGTAAAATAATAAAGAGCCCGGCCGGTGTGGCTCAGTGTTGAGCATTGACCTATGAACCTGGAGGTCACGGTTCCATTCCCCGTCAAGAGCACATGCCCGGGTTCCCAGCTCGATCCTCAGTATGGGGCCTGCAGGAGGCAGTCGATCCATGATTCTCTCTCATCATTGATGTTTCTCTCTCTCTCTCCCTCTCCCTTCCTCTCTGAAATCAATAAAAATATTTTTTAAACATTAAAGACTCCTGGGAGAGAAGAAGCTCTGGTGTTGGCATAAAGTCCACCCTTTGCACCTCTGGGTCCCTCCCCTGGGAGCTTGCATCAGGGTCTGCCAAGGCAGAGGAAGGAAGGTCTGGCCTGCACCCCCTTACCCGTGACCACAAGCTCCAGGGGGTCGCTGGGGGCAGACCACAGGTACGGGTTGCTGCTGGAGAAGCCGTAGCACTGGTAGGTCCCGCTGTGGGCGGCCGTGACCGTGGTGATGGGGAAGTTGGCCTGGTCCCACCGCTCAGGGCTCTTGTAAGGCCCCGTGTCCCCCTTCTTGTACAGAGCGTATTGGTCAAAACCGTATTTGCTCCGGCACTGGAGCGTCACGTCCGCTCCGAGGGACACCGAAGGGCCGGGCTGGGCGGAGAGCGTGGGCTTGTCGTAAATTCCTGTGAACAAAAGAACTCTGGGATCAAAGACAGCAGCCTGCCCGGCCGAGGTGTGGCTCAGTTGGCTGAACATCGTCCGGTGCAGAGAGGTCGCCGGTTTGATTCCCAGTCAGGGCACACGCCCGCATTGTCAGCTTGATCGCCAGTAGGGGGTGAGCAGGAGACAGCCCACCGATGTTTCTATCTCTCTCTCCCTTTCCCCTCCTCTCTGTAAAATTAAAAAATGTGCAAAGTTGCCCTAACTGGTTTGGCTCCGTGGATAGAGCGTCGGCCTGCGGACTCAAGGGTCCCAGGTTCGATTCCGGTCAAGGGCATGTACCTTGGTTGCGGGCACATCCCCAGTGGGGAGTGTGTGGGAGGCAGCTGATCGATGTTTCTGACTATCTCTCTCCCTTCCTCTCTTTGAAAAATCAATAAAATATATTTTTAAAAAATTAAAAATGTGCAAAGTTGCCCTAACTGGTTTGGCTCAGTGGATAGAGCGTGGGCCTGCAAACTGAAGGGTCCCAGGTTCGATTCCGGTCAAGGGCATGTACCTTGGTTGCGGGCACATCCCCAGTGGGGAGTGTGTGGGCCTCTCCCTTCCTCTCTGTAAAAAATCAATAAAATATTTTTTTAAATGTGCAAAGTTAAACATCATAGCCCTAGCCAGTTTGGCTCGGGGGATAGAGTCAGCCCTCAGACTGAAGGGTCCCGGGTTTGAGTCCGGTCAAGGGCACATGCCTCAGCTGTAGGCTGGATCCCCCGGCCCTGGTCCGGGCGCATGCGAGAGGCAACCAATCAATGTGTCTCTCTCA